TGTGGAAGCGGCCATGGGAGAAGATGGGATAACTAAGGAAATGTTACAGAAAGCAGAAAAAGAGGGCTTTAAACTTGTTTTTTATAATGTGACAGAAAAAGAATTTCCAAAACAAGAAATAATTTTCTAAAATTTTAGAAACATAGGAAAATATTTCGGTAAGTATTCAACCAGTTTTATATTTGAAATACTTCATCTAGCACCCTAGCCGTGTTGCTACACTGAGGTAGCATCAGCAAACGTTATTACAGCAGCACATTCGTCTTTCTGAAAGTTAAGGGTATGTCAGTATTTCCATTATAAACTCCAATTTTCAGGGGTTTATAACTTGGCTATTTTAAAATCATATCAGGCTGAAACTTGCAAGTAATAAGACATTTAAAAAATAGACTTAATTCATTTTTGTCAAGACTTGGTTAAAATATTGCCTATTTTTTTCTGAGATTAAGAGACTTACAGTTAATATATTGTAAGAAAAATGTTTAATTAAAAACACTTTTTTATTTTAAAGTTTCTGGAAATAATTACACTTTATAATAATGTCATATTTCATATGTACAGGTTAGATATGGATGGACCACAAACATTATATTGAAGCAATTTTAAGACATTATGGCAGAACTTGGCATGTGCATTGTGGTTTTAAATAAATTTCTTTCCAATAAAACTTGTTGTAAATTGGTGAAGGTGTTTTTGAGGAACAATAACATGTTCAATTTTATTTTATTATGATTTTGCCAGCCAGAACTTAGTCTCAAAGTTATTGTTCAATTAAAAATATACCACCTTTTTGGAATATGATATTTTGATTTCCTTTTAGAATAATAGAATTTTCTAGCGTATGGATACTAAATTCATCTAAGGCTTTTTGTAAAATCAGTTAAGCCAGGAATTCTACCTGAAAGAGCAAAAATACTCTCTTCCCTTATGAGGAATAGGAAGAAACATGGAGAAGGTTATAGAGTAAAAACAATCAAATACTATATGCTAGGTAAGGGAGAACAACCATCCCATTTTTCCTAGCTGAACCCAGCCACCTTTTGACCTATGATCTGCTCGCAGCTACATGAGCCAGTCCAGCCAAGATCAGCATAGGAACCACCCAGCCCATCCACAGAGACCAATTTATGCTAAAAGTGTAATTTGGTAGCATAATTACATGGATTTTATGCTTTTACATTGAAAACAAAGAATCATTACCTCAAATTGTGAAAAGCAAAACAAAACACAAATTACACAGAGATTAAATATCTAAATTTAAAAATCAGATAATGAAAATGGAAGCTAATTTGGGAGTCTTCCCAATTTTCAATTAGGAAAAGCCTTCTTAATCAAGAAAAAAGAAAAAACTCAGGAGCAATTACAAACAAAATAACTAGATTTGGATTTGTTTAAGTGGAAAAATTCTCAATAACCCAAAATTAATTAAGTAAAAAATTAAATGCATGTGTTATAGTACATATGATAGACTACTCCTAATTAACAAAGAGTCCTCTAATAGCCATAAAATCTAATAGGAAAACGGGTAAAATAAACAGTAAATTCACAGAAAATGAAATGCAAAGGGCCAACGAATACAAGGAAAGATTCTCAGCGATTTAGTTAGGGCTAGGGCAATGAAATTTAAATAAGAAAGTAGCTTCTTTTAATGAATAAGGTTTAAAAAATAAGATTAATAAAAATTAGTGAGTGAGGATATCAAGAAACAGATTTTCTCATATCTTTATTGGGAATGTGTATTTTGACAACCTTCCAGAAAGCCATATATCAAAATTCATTAAAATTGAAAATACGCAAAATACTTAGGGAAATCTAAAGATATGAAATACCAGTACATAAGATAATAATTATAAGAATATTAATTTAACACTTATTCATTAATTAATTTCTTGAGTACATAACAGAGGATTCTGCTCTATAAAATGTAGATTTTATTTGGAGAAAGTCAATATAGAAGTAAAGAAAGAAACAAAATAATTTCAGGTGGTGATAAGTGCTATTTGGAAAAAAAACATGATGGTGTTATAATTATTTAAATTAAGATTATAGAAGATAGCATGATATCATTTTTATCAAATTCAAGAACAAGCATACATAAAAGTTGGAATAGAAGTAGTCTAAGGGGTACAATTATGGGTGATATATTATTTTTTTCTCCTGTGTTTCTATAGTTTGAAATGTGCTATAATCAGCATGCATTACTTTCTTAATACAAAAATACTATCAGAATAAATGAATTGTTTTTCAAAATAGTTTTTAGTAAAAGTCTGACAAACTATGTTGGTATGCAGCCTCACTGTGTGGTTGCTGCCTCTTACTGTAGTCTATCATCAAGCATGCCTTTGCTGAGCTTTAACCATACAGAGTGCTCAGCGAGAAAATCTTGTCTACTTCCTATGCCAAAGGAAGAAATGCAGATTCATGCTAACCCCACACAGACCAGGCCAAGGATGATCTCCTGGCATAGGCTGGGCAGCATTGAACTGACAATGAATGAAGAGCACACAGGTTTGTAACTTCTTCAGTGGCTTTTATGCAATTTTGTGGGATCTTGTCCACTCAGGGGAAAATTGGCAGGCAAGTAGTTAGGAGGAACTCTAAGTAAACTGGTTGCCAAAATATAGTTTTGGGCAAAAAGTTTTTATCAACATTAATAAAAATTATACCTTGGTTGCATTTTCATCCTTTGTCATAATTTTCGGTCTTTCTCTTTTGTTCATGGAAATCCTAAAAGCTAAGCCAATAGTTTTGAAAGTCTTACCAACACTTTTATTTGTCTTGTGCCTTGTAAAGTTTTATTTCTAGAGATTCGACCAAGTCCTCTTTGACAAGCTTCATGCTGTGTGCTTAGGGAAAATTGGCAGACCCAGGAGAAGGATCACTGGTTTTAAGCTGAATAGGAATTATTATAATAGTGACAAGCCTAATCATTTGCACTGTCCATCAGTGATATTGTCAGTATCCCAGGCGTTACTAAAATTTCTATGTAGACAGCAGAAAGCCATCTATAGACCATGATTGAAAAGGTCTAAGCATTTGTTTTTCAAACTATTGTCCTTGCCTAGAATGGTTACTCTGTCCTCATAAAAGTTCCATTTGGCTTACAAGGCCCATTTACTCAACAAATATTTATTGAAAACCTACTTTGTGCCAGATGTTTTCAATGGATAGACAATGGTGAACAAGAGGAGCAATAAGATTCTTGCTCTCACAAATCTTACATTGTGAGAAATGCAATAAACAAGAAAACAACTGAATTTCAGATAACAAGGGGAAAACAGTATCTGTGGTGTATATCATGGTAGTCAAGAAAAGCTACTCTGAGGTGACACTGGAATAGAGAACTGAAAGGTGAGCGAGAGTGTGTGTAACATGCAGTCTAAAGAAAGAATGTTCCAGGTAGCGAGTACCTAAGTAGGATCTTGACATGATTGAAATCAGCAAGATCTAGGTCCATTCCTCCATTTTCAGGGAGAAGCTCTGATTCTTCCATCTTGCAATGACCAAACTCTTATTATAGCACTTGTCCATGTGATTCACTTGGCATTGCAGTATCTTTCCAAAGCTGAGACATTTGCTCTCCACTTAAGACTCAGCTCCTTCAGGCCAGGGACCTTATCCTATACTTCTTGATATACTAAAACCAAAAATAGTACTCTCATGTAACAAGCATTCAATAAACACTCACCGATGAGTGACCTGATATAAATGATCTGTGCTGTTGTCTTGCCTTCAAGGAGTCATCAGCATATAGATAGTACACTACCGTATTTGCCGGCATATAAGACGACTGGGCGTATAAGACGACCCCCTAACATTTCCACTCAAAATACAGAGTTTGTTATATACTCGCCGTATAAGACTACCCCCTCTTCCGCACACCTTCCACACACCAAATAAAAGGTAAAACAATATCAGATTTGATTTGGCCCACTGAAGTGCAAACAAGCGTATTGTATTTCGTGTCACCACATAACGTTTTGGCGATGTTGAGCCACCATGTCTGCTACATGTTTTTCAAGTTCTGGCCAGTGTGGGGTGCCTCTTCTTAATGCACACTTACCCCTTGGCATACTCTTTAATGCTTTCTCATTTGATTTCCAGTCCCGAACCATCTTTTCTGTTACTCCATATTGTCTTACAGCAGCACAATTATTATTTTCCTTAGCAAAGTTTATAACTTTCAGTTTAAAATTTGCATCATACTTCTTTCTTTTGGCTGGTGCCATGATAGGGATGATAGGGGTTTGACTGGTCGACATTTTCTATGCTGTACTGTACAATGGTGCAGTATTGTGGTTGGCTGTTGGCTGTATACAAAGCCCGATTTGATTGGTCCCTGCTCCCTGTTTGCCCGCCCTGTCACTATAGCAATCTGGTCCATCCTTGCATCAGCATCTCCCTGGGACCTCACTAGTGCGCAAGTGCGAGCTCTTCAACATTCTAACAGGCACCATGATAGCGCAAAATCACGAATCTTCAATGCATATGTAAAGAAATATACGGTAACCCGAATTTACCACACTCGCAAAATAGCACACAACCAACCATACACCCAGTATGGTATCACGATTCGCGATTTTGCGCTATCATACTGGGTGTATGGTCGGCTGTGTGCGATTTTGCAAGTGTGGTAAAATCGCATAACAGCAAAATCGCATAACAGCCAAGCATACACCCAGCAGCGCTGCTGATGCCTGAACGGTATGTGGAATGAAGTGGGCGGGCATCGGGAGGCCACTATGGCATGGAGCAAGCACTATGGGCAGTCTATCTGAAGTGTACCTTGCGTATAAGACAACCACCCACTTGGAGGCATATTTTTCAGGGCCAAAAAATCGTCTTATACACCGGCAAATACGGTATTTAAAGTGATGGGGCTGGATGAGATCATCTAGGGAGAGAATAGAAAGAAGGGTAAGTATATAACGGTCATGTCTTAATTTTTATTAAAATTCTCTTTGTTTAGTTAGGTCCAAGATTCTTTGTTTCAAATGCCTTTCTCTACAAGCATCTATGATATTTTAAGAAATGGTCTCATTATATAATCTTCCTCTTTATCATTACTTTAAACTATTCTGACACATTTTGGGGGAGAGGTTTGGCAATCTTCAATTCTCTTTACTGTTGTGTTTAAGATTCAATCAGGGCCTAGTCTGGGTTTAGAAAGAGGTGCACAACTTTCAAGTTTTCCTCAAGGTTGTCTACACGTCTCAGAGTTTTTCACACATTCAGAAATCTTGATTCTACAAAATATAAAATGCTGTAGGTTAGCTACAAGGATGGGATCCAATCAGCTATCCATCCATATTAACAATGTGGGATACCAAATTTCATAGGAAATAAAGGGGGCATATCTCAGAACCCTCTGGCCCTTTCTCAAACATCTTTGCCCTCAGAACTTCTGCAGGTATCCCAGAAAGTAGGAACATATTTTAATGTCATAGTATTAGAACGAAGATACATAAATTCCAACAAAACATGCAATATTTATTATAAGTGAGAGATAAATCAAGAAAAAAAAATGGGGTATGGAAATGGAGCCAGGTATAAAGCTAAAAAAAGAGCCCAAGTGAACCATAAATTTGGCTCAACTTTCTAATAACCAATGTGAGAAGAATCATCTACCTAATATACTGTGTCCATTAGCTGAAATAAACCAGTTATTTAGAGGACATAGATTTATTTTCGGAACTAAGACCATACAGGAATTTTTCTCTGAGATCTCATAATGTGATAAGTAATATTATTTTTGCACCTGGGAGAATTTAAGAATGGAATGGAATTTAAGAATGGAATTGGTAGGAGGCCTGGCTTCCCAACCCTGCTTTAGCAGAGGTAAAATTATTTGGAATGAAATTTTTCCAGGCTACAGAATGTATGCAAATTATCAATGCAGGTAATTTTATTCCCCTACTGTATCCCAGTTCTTTGAGGTTAGGATTTGCTTATTTATCATAGAATTTGTTACATAGTTGGTGTCTATTAAATAATTAAATGAATGAATGCCTCATCGGATGCCTCTCTGCTTTCCAGCACTATAGCCAGAATGGCAGAGTTGATCTACTTTTGTTAGTGTTGGGGATTCAGTTTCCTGAGGCCCTCAGAAAGAGTGCCACATTTGATTACCTCTGTTAGGGAAATAGGTACAGGGGGTATTTCAGTGAGTGCTTACTATCTGTCAATCTTGAGATACTATATACTGAAGGTGGCTCTTTCAGGTCTATTGGATCTCCGATGAGACTTCCTTAAACTAAGGACTTTTCCCTTAGTTAATCGAAAGATAAAAACTGTTGTCACCCACTCCAGAGGTATGAACTTTTTTCTTTTCTAATTAAAGCACGCAAGGTTAATATAATTAAAAGTGATTTCTGTTTTGTTTGGGATAAGGAATTGAAAGACTTGTGTTCAATTGTCAAAAATTAGCTATGTAACCCCGGATGAATTCTTTAGTATCTGTGTCATTTTTCCTAATTACCTGCCCTCCCTAACAACTGGTGTCATCCCATCATTATTTATTTTACTTTCCGGTTTAGCCTATGGACATACCTACTTGGAGGCAGAAACTATGTCTTATTGGTTTGTATCCTAAGTGCTTATCACAGTGACTGTTAGATTGTAGACTCAATAAAATGTCCATTGGTCCAGTGAATGAATGGAAATATTTGGAAAGTTTCACAGTGCTAAATAAATGTCAGCTATTTGCGTAAAGCAGGTAGAACTTCCCCATGTGTTTCTCTCCTTAAGACTGGTAGTTCCTTTCCATGGCCAGGTGCCCCTAAGCAATCAGTACCAGTTCATACAGAGATTGGACAGTGCCTGGATGTTGACGCATCTCACACTCTCATCCTTCTGGAAGTGTCCTCACGCCAAAAGGCTTGGGCTTCCTTTGGATCATCTGGTATCCAGTGTCATACATTGCTTGTCATATACTGCCATGTTGATACTGTCAAACAATACCTGTAAAAAAACCAAAATGTTGAATATTGATTCTGTAGCACATTTTGTATGTGTCCAAATGCTCCAGGTTGGCATATTCTCCATAATCACAACAGCCAGGAGATACTGAGATCTTATTATGTTCCAGGCACTTCACACGTACATGTATTAATTCATTGCTTCCTCACATTTTTAAGGTGACGGTTCCATTGTCATCCCCAGTTTGCATGAGAACAGGAGAGAAAAACAGGTTAGTACTTTGCCCAAGATCATACACTTAGAGTGGTGGAGCTTGGTTCTGGCATGAGCTGTCTGGCTTCAGCATTCAAGTTTTTAACCACTAGGCTATGCTGCCTCTTGACTAATTGCTTCAATAGCTTTATTTTTACAATAATTCATTTTTCTTTTGGGAAACAGTAACAATAAGAATTTTAAAGCTTACGTTGCCTAATTATGAAATACTTAACCTTTCACTCCTGTAGTTATCCAGAGTTACAGTTAGTGCTTCCCTTTGTGTGCTTATACTGGTATTGAGAACTCTATAGTACTCATATTTAGAAAACATATTTAAAAAAAATGGAAGTTGGAAAATGTTTGTTTGCCCATATGGCAAAGGGATCACGATAGCAAGTTAACAAAACAAAAAACACCAGAAATCTACTAAAAAACCATACACTAAAATTCTAAATAAATGTTCAACTTAAAATATTGTTGACCCTAAGATAAGGAGTATTTTATACCTCTAGCTAAAACCAAGCCTAGCTTGCTATGATCATACCACTTACACAGGCTGTTAACTATCTTGAAATCAAAATGGTGACAACTATAACTGTATTGCTTGATATTCAAGGATCTTGACAAAGTCTACTTGACGAAATCTATGATTTTGTACATTTTTTTCCCCTTCATAATGGCAGATCCTATGTGTGTTAACACAAATTTTAGCAAATTAGTTATAGTACTTAAGTACCTTAATATCCAACCAATCAAGGAGCAGAAAACTGTTATAAACAAAGCTGTTAGAGGACCTCAGAAGACCAGTTTTCCACACCTGTTTTCTATTAGCATACAAAAGCTAATAGTATGGGAAAAAAACATACAGTAAGCAGTTTGAATTACCCTGAACTATATTCTGAAGAGGTTTTAACCATTTTTTTAAGAACTGACAATATTAAAAAGGTAAAAAGCATTATAACTCGACAGTACACAAGATTTCTCACTTCATCTATAAAAATAGAAGGTCAATGTTTCATTTGCCACAGAGATGAGGGAAACATCCGGGAAATAAATTTGATAACATGGCTCACACTTCACTACAAATGATTTTCCTAAATTCACAACTTTCACATTTGGCTCAGCTAAAAAGAAAAAAACACTCTAAAAGGGGAGCTTTTCACTTGATGTAAGTAAGCCAAGTCACATGACCCACCTAAATGAGGGAATTTAAAAGTGAATGAGTGAACTTTTCTGGCTGAGAAAATATTTTCCTTAATTAAGTGGGCTTAAATAATTTACCCATGGTGATGAATAAGCCCTTGAGTCAGAGTCTGAAACATCCTCTATCATAAAATTATTCAAAAATGTATTATGGAACACGCATGAAACATTTTCTTGGTTAAGTCTTCATAGTAAATACAAAAATAAAAAATCCATTATTTCCCTGTCTTTCAGGTCTTTTTCTCCTTAATGTACCTTCTCTAGCTTTCTTAGGTAGGATGTATAGCTATATAGACAGTCCACTCTACTTAATGGCGTAATGTGTTCATGAATTTTAGCACCATATGTTAGTAAGTGTAAGAAGAGCTGGGGTAAATTGCCTCTTCAGTCTCCTCCTCCTCCTTACCAATTGTCAAGTTTATTTTAAAAACAATGAGGAAGAAGTACTGTAGCCTAGAGGCAACTGGGAAAGGAGGGAATTCAGAGAAGGAGAGAATATGGCTCTGGAGAGATATTCAAGTCATACTGGAAATTTATGGAGTCTAACTATAAACTCTTTATTACCCTTCTTCCTGGCTTGTGACTTAGATAAGGTGTGAGGTGTCAGGGATGTGCATGGAACCTTCACCAACGGACATTTTTTTCCGTGTTTTCTTTTTTTCCGTGAAACAAAGAAAAAAAAAAGAAATAGAAGTGCTTTGTACCACATGCTTTTGAGGCTTAAAAGCCTATTAATAAACACACTGTTTCCATCTTTGGGGCCGCGGGATCACTTTTTTAATAAATATCGCCAGAAGAATCTCCTCCAAGGGAGACTGAAGTCACTCTCTCCCTCCCCAGGAGCCACGAAGCAAAAGGGAGACAGAAGATAGTGCCCCCTACTTGCAGGTGGGATCTCCCTTTCTCCTCCGAGCCCCCTCCGCCTCTACCACGCAGGTCTGGCTGCCTTAGGAGGTGGCTGGGAGAAAAGGTTAACGCTCAGTCCTCCATGGCAAAGTCTTTGGTCTTTTCCTCCTGGTCGCCCACTTTGTAGCGCAGCTGCACCCGCAGGAGACGATGGTTGTCCCGGGAGGGCAGCAGCGTGATCTCTCCGGAAATGTCCGTATCTTGCTCCACTGGCACAGGCTCGTTCAGGTAGAGAAGTGCCTGCTTCCAGTGCGTGACCGGCTGAAAAGGCGAGGTGGACAGCACCAGGGGTTTGTCCGAGTCCCCTTCGGGGAAGGTCACCTGGAACCAGATGGCAAAGCCGTGCATGGGGGCCGAGCCGTAGCAGCTGAAGCGGAAGCGCCCACCCACCCCGGCCTCCAGCTCCTGCTCCAGGCCGGCGCGGGCCAGCTCCAGCTGAGCAAAGCGCTGCGGCCGGGCCAGCACATCCTCGCCGGACAGGTCCTGCACCACGATTTCCGAGTGGCCCATGATGCAGCGCGTGGCGAAACTCTCCAGGCAGCTCATGTCCACACCGTAGAGCTGCTTCATCTGGCTCCAGAAGCCTAAGCGCAGCTCCAGCATTTGGTCGCTGATGGGCGCCACGAAGAGCTCGGCGGAAGCCGGCAGGAGAAGACCGCCCTCCTTCAGCCACTTGGACCGCGCGTGGAGCACAGAGCTCAGCATGGACTCGTGCAAGAGTCCGTAGCCCATCCACTCGCTCACGATGACATCCACCTGCTCCGGCAACTCCACCGTTTCCACCGGCCCAGGCAGGACGTGCACTCGGTCTTCCAGCCCGTTGAGCCGCACCACCTCCCGGGCCTGTTGCCAGATGGCGCTGGCCTCCACCGCGTACACGCGCCGGGCCCCGGCCTGGGCACAGAAGATGCTAAGAATGCCGGTGCCCGCGCCCACGTCCAGCACGGTCTTGCCCCTCAGCGCTGCCCAGTTACGCAGGATGCCCAGGCGGTAGGCATCTGTGCGGACGCGGTCCGCAATCATCTCCTCGTGGACCGATATGTCCGAGTAGCACTCGTAGTACAGCTGGTCGCGCTCCCGCCTTGTCCTCCGGGGTCGCAGCAGAGCTGCCGCCCGCTCTCCGCCATGTTTCTCTTCAGTTCCCTCCCCTAATTCGCCACCGCCCCCCGACTCAAGTTTTCTTCTCTTGGGCTGCGACATGTTGGCGGTTCCGACCGACTCCCGGCAGGCGTTGCGCGGCGCGGCGTGGGCTCCAGGAAGCGGGAGCTTCTGGGATTTGTAGTGCGCGCTCGCCCTTCCCACTTGGGAGTCGCCGGCCCAGCGTCTGCCGGTACTTGGGAGCTCTGTTCGGCTCGTCCCTGCGCCTTTGGTGTCCTGGAATCCCTTTTCTACCCACCATAACCACACTCTATGCTTCTTTAGGACGCCCCTCCTTCCCGTAGCCCTCAATTCTCTTTTGCTTTCACTCTCTTCCTGTAGTGGACACGCCCACGTAAAACTAAAAATCCATGTTTTATCTTTTCTGCTCAACTCCCAGGTTTTATCCCGCTGAATTATCTGGGCGGCACCCTTCACACATTAGCAGCCCACCTGGACATTTGCAACTCTTAAAACTCTCCAGAGGTGTAGATTTAGAAATTCCACTACACGCTTTTCTGTTTTCAGTGGAGTTAGGGTGCAAATCAAGTGTAAATGGAACAAATTAAAAAACCCTAACAATGTTAAATCTTGGTTCTGATTCCAGTTGCGACCACTAATCCAATGATTAGGGCAAGTAGCGTAACTACCCTTGCCTTCAGTTACTCATTCACCCACCAGCAGAAAGGAATCTTGTTTGCCAACGAAGAATTACGTTTCTGGTCTTAGGTTAAGGAGCATATGACTTGGTTTTCAGTCCTGCTTTGGTAATTCTGTGGTTCATTCAAAATCTTGGAGGGGTTCTGACTTGAGAGCAGGTGAAAAACTACAGTGGTATGATACAGTAGTGAAACCCATTGCCAGGTGTAGTCTGGTCACCAATTACATTTTTTCCCCCCAGTAATAATGGACTCCTTCATCCCTTGTGATCACTTTTCCACTGCAATTCCTTATTTTTTCCTGTGTGTCTCCTTGTGTGGGCAAGATTGGTACTCCCCTCTTCCTCTTCTGTTTTTCTTTCAGTCAGCTATGAGCTGTTAATCTCTTCCTATATTGTTCATAATAGAAATAAAATCTATTTTAAAATATGTCTGATGTCTATATGAGTGCCTGGGTTCTTAACAAGTAAGGGGAGAATAACATTTTTCCCAGCTTAAAAAAAAAATCACACAGTAGAAAATTGACTTTTATTTTCTTGTAGTCTTGAACTATGTTTAACCAATGGGCCTGTATTCCTTATCTGGGGGGAAAGTTCCTTCACCCCATTCTCACTAGTAATCCATCATTTAATGGAATAGGTTTATTGACCTGACATCGTCAGCTATACTTCAAGGGCTCTCATTTCTGGCTGCTCATTACAATCCTCTGTGGAGCTTTTAAAAAATACCTATGCCTGTGTCCCACCTTAAACTAATTAAATCAGAACCACTCCAGTGGAGCTAGGTCATATAGTTCTGAAAGATCACCAGGGAATTTGAATGTGCAGCCAGAGTGAGAACCACTGTTTCTCACTAAAATGATCTTAGTTAAATCTTGCTTCATTATTTTCATTGGGTAAATTATCTTTTCCCAGAGGTCTGTGCTCAACCACTTAATGCTAAAAATCCTCAGAGCAGTTCCTCTTTCTGCTGAGTTTAATATCTTGTTTTAAGGAAATAGAAGCCCAGGGCAGGACATGGAATTCAAGTTGTAAATATGACCATTTTAATATTTTACTTTTAGGCTGTTCCTTAGTGTGTACTTCTCCCATTTTTTCCTTCCTCAAAATCTTTTCCTTACATTTTAAATCCATTCCTCTACCCAATTTTAAATACACTTGTGGTTACTTTTTAGAAAATTCTGAATATAACTTTTATTGGTTCTACCTTCAAAATATATCTGAGTCATCTTCTATTCTCCTTCTCCACTGCCAACACTAATCTTCCATCTTTGCTTGCTTGGTAGTTAGTCTTCTAAGAGATCTTTCAGCTTTTAATCATAGCCCTATCTAATCCATTCTCAACCTAGGTACAAGAAGGAGCTTTGAAAACCCCAAATTGAACCATATCATTCTCCGGTAACTTCCCATTCCCTCTCATGCTACCCTTCCCAGCTCCTATTGGGCTCAAGATAGACTGGCCTGGAATAACACACCTCTTTCTTGTCTCAGGTCTTATGTTCTTCCAGGGTCTAGAAACTTGTTTTCCTCCTTAGCACTTCAGTGGCTCCTTTGCATCTAACAGGTCTCAAATGTGACACCCTGAGAAAGGCCTTCCTTGGCTACTTTAAATACTTTTTTCTAACCCAAGACACTGTTTATTCCTTTCATAGCTTGATTATTATCTGAGTGTAGTTGTTTGTCTATTTATTGTCTGTAAAATAGAAATTCCAAGAGACTTGGACTTTTGTTTCCCTGCCATTATAGTTCCTAGCCCTAGAATAGACCCTGACAGGTAGAAAGTGCTCAATAGTCAGGAAACAAATTGTTGTCCACAGAGGCAGGAGAAGAGCGTGTTGCTTTTTGTGGTTCAGTATGACAACTTGACTCTGCTAAACTCTGAGATAAATCCAGAGATAGAACAAATTTAAGATGCTCCCAGTTGTAAGAGGCGTTTCATTTTCAAACACTCTTAACCTATCCAGATAAAATAATGGTAACCCTAAATGTTATTCCTAGAGTAGAGAAGATATGGCCTGTGGGTTTTTCCCTTCCTGCACTTTGGCTTGATATAGAGAGGAATTTCTTTACTCATCTATTCTACTACAGAGTTGTTTTAAGTAGGAAAGGGATCTAGATCATACTCCTTCTCTAAGCATCACAGCTCAGCAGAAAACTCCTGGACGGGAGAAGAGCTGGAGCTGTGTTTGCAGAATGTACTATGTGTTTTCATGTCAGTGGTCAATGCTACATCTATTTAATGCTCAAACCTTCTTTTGTCCTCTCACCTTTTTAGATAGGACTCAAACGTTATCACTTATTTGTAGCTCTTTCAACCACTCTATGCCCTCATAATACTTACACATAACTTTTTTTCATTTATCCCATTGTACCAAAGCTATTTATATACTTAGTTTTTATATACTTAGACGGTGGTTATTGGGACACTAAGATTTTATATTTTTCACTTTTATATTGTGAATCTAATACGTTGTGCTGGAATCTGAACCATTTCCACATTGTTGGTGCTGAACACACACAGGATCACCGCTGTGTTTTGTATGACTTATCCAATCATTCACTCATTCAACAAACATTCTGGGCTTCTATTCTGTACTAGTCTAGAAACAGGGAACCTATCAATCAATAAAAGACAAAAATCCCTACCTGCCAGGGGCTTATATTTTTGTGTTAATGTTATGTTTTCTATAAGCAAATTGTTATACTTAAGCAAATTATTAGACCACTTTTAACTCTCAACTTTCTTTTCTGTATTATTTTATCTTGAATTTACCAATATAATTTCCTCCCACAAACACTTATTTCTAATTTCTTTTTAATTTGAAGTTCTGTTGTTTAAAAATGTATTTTAAACCCTAGTAAGAATTAAAGGTCATTCCTTCAGCATTTCAAGAATTCATTGTAATTCTCAAAGTGTGTGTTGAGGAAGGATAAAGGACCAATGACATAAAAAATGTTATAAGTATTCTTTGATGTGAATATTCATTTAAAAATGTAGTTCTTACCATTCTGTAGTTTCTTGAAAGTTGCTAGCATAGAAAGAGGCACTTCTGTAAAAAAAAAAAAAAAAAGAAAAAGAAAAAAAAGAAAAAAAAGAAATCCTTTGTAGAAAATGAAGACAAAAGGTGGTGATTTTTGTATTTAAACACATTGGAACATCAAACATAAAAAGCCTAAGTATTGTTATTTTCTTGATGTGTATATTGTCTTTTAGATACATGGTGTATTGACCTAGCTATTAAACCTAATATTAAAACAGATGAGTATTAAATTCATAGTTCTTTGATGATATGATGAGTTGTAATTCTTAAAAAATGTTTGTTTTGCATTATATAGGTAGTCACAAAAGGAATATTATGAATTTAATCCATAATTATCAATTCAGTTTAAATTTACTGAGCCCTCTTAGAGTATTGAATATGGCATTTTAACAATTTCAAGTATAAATATTGGTTATGACATTTTTAACAATTTCTACTATAAATCAGGCCACTATAATGAAAACAGTACCGAAAAAAAGGGAATGTAGATTATAATATAGGGAAAAGTCATGTATCAGTGTATCTATGGAAAAAAGCATTTGCTCCCCTGTCCCAGGAGAAATATGAACTAGGTAGCCTAATGAAAATCAGGTATTATGCCTTAAAATATAATTTAATAAGATCTTTTCTCTCTTTTTCTTCTTTTGTGGGAACCTTTACTATGTAAGGAAACCAGCCATTTGCTTCAATCAGATGCTTATGTTCTCATAGTATTTTGCTCCTGAGGGCATTTGAAGTGCCTAGAAGTAAATATAGTCCTGGTAGTCCTGTGGTTCTGAAAAGTCTGATTGGAGACCAACAGCATCAGCATCACCTGGGAAACTGTTAGAATTATACAATCATGAGCCTCACTCTACATCTAATGAATTAGAATCTCTGGGGTCAGGGCTCAGCAGTCTTTGTTCTAACAGACCTACAGGTGAATCTGATGCACACTGAAATTTGACTGCTCAATTTGAAGAGTATCAGGACCGGTGTGAGGCCACGTAGAGTTGATGCAATGGAGGGTCTATTATTTTTTTCTCCTGCTGTGCAAAAAATTACTACAAATTTGGCAGCTTAAAACAATAAACCTTTTTTTTTTTTTTAATGTCATGGTGTCTGTGGGTCAGGAGTTTAGTCTGTGCCTCACGGCGTCCTCTGTGAAGCAGCAGTCGTGATGTGGGCCAGGCCGCATGCCTGTCTGGAGCTTGGAATTCTCTTCCTAGCTCAGGTGGTTTTTTGCAGATTCATTTCCTTGTAGTTGTAGCACTGAGGTCTCCCTCTCCTTTCTGATTGGCAAAAGGGAGCTACTTTCAGCCCCTAGAGCAGCGGTTCTCAACCTTCCTAATGCCGCGACCCCTTCATACAGTTCCTCATGTTGTGGTGACCCCCAACCATAAAATTATTTTCATTGCTACTTTATAACTGTAATTTTGCTACTGTTCTGAATCGTAATGTAAATATCTTTTTGTTTTCCGATGGTCTTAGGCAACCCCTGTGAAAGGGTCGTTCGACCCCCAAAGGGGTCACGACCCACAGGTTGAGAACTGCTGGTCTATAACAACCTAATTCCCCCACCAAACTCTTCTGAGTAAAACACATGTAAAGATGAGATAAAAACACAATGCCGAGTGGCGCAATGGTTAAGAACTGGCTTGGGACGCCAGAGGGCCCCGGTTCGGATCCCACATATGAGGGCCAGTGACACTGCCCTCTACAGCTAAGATGCTGAACAACAGCTCAACCTGGAGCTGGGCTGCCGTGAGTCACCTGGCTATGGCATAGGCTGCAGCCCCTGCTGCAGTGGGTTGCCATGGGTTACTGTATGTAGCCAGCAGCCAGCGTGGGCGGCCGTCCAGAAGCTGGCGACTGATCTGCCTCCTCTGTGAATAGCGCAATGATGGTGCCAGCATGGGCCGGTGAGGTGACGTCCTCTACAACTAGACTGAAGAAAAAACGATAGCAACTTCCCCTTCTTCCAATTCCCCAGCGCTGTTCCCATCCCCCAACTCCCCAATAAAAATCTTTAAAAAAAACCCACAATACCTAACGTGCTTTTTCCTTTTGTTGTAAACTAGAAATATAATAGCTGGGAGAAATAAGGAGCTCAGTTACCTTCTCTATGCAAAGTTATTCATAGATTTAGCATCATGTACGCCATGGTGGCTTTAGAGGTCGCTGAGAACTGGATACTATACAGCAAGGAAAATCAAGTAACTACTGTTATATACAACCACATAGATCAATTTCTACATACATAATGTAGAGCAAAAGGATCTAGCCAGCGGTTCTCAACCTGTGGGTCACGACTCCTTTGGGGGGTCAAACGA